AGGATTATATAAGTTCAGGAGTTCAAGACCAGCCTGGGCAACATAGCAAGATCTTGTCTTTACTAAAAATCAAAAAGCTTAACTGGGTGTGGTGGTGCGCACCTGTAGCCCCAGCTATAACAAACACAAAAACAAAAACAGATAATGTACATGTGCATGTATCATGGATAGATGTAGAGAAGAGGCCTGGCACAGTGGCTTACACCTGTAATCCCAGCACTTTGGGAGGCTGAGGTGGGTGGATCACCTGAAATTGGGAATTCGAGACCAGCCTGACCAACATGAAGAAACCCTATCTCTACTAAAAATACAAAACAAAATTAGCCGAACCTGGTGGTGCATGCTTGTAATCCCAGCTACTTGGGAGGCTGAGGTAGAGCCAAGATCGCGCCATTGCACTCTAGCCTGGGCAACAAGAGCAAAACTCCCTGTCAAAAAAAAAAAAAAAAAGGCTGGGCGCAGTGGCTCATGCCTATAATCCCAGCACTTTGGGAGTCCGAGGTCAGGAGATCAAGACTCTGTCTCAAATTAAAAAAAAAAAAAAAAATGAAGTGATAAAAGCATGTTTCCAAAGTTACAGTGTGACCCTATTTTTATAAATATAAACAGTATGTATACATATATATAGGCGTACGAGAAGGATAAATACTAAAATTGGGTTATAGAAAGATAGTGATTGGGAGGCCAAGGCGAGCAAAGCACCTGAGGTCAGGAGTTCGAGATCAGCCTGAACAACATGGTGAAACCCTGAGTCTACTAAAAATACAAAAATTAGTCAGGTATGGTGGCAGGCGCCTGTAATCCCAGCTAGTTGGGAGGCTGAGGCAGGAGAATCGCTTGAACCCGGAAGGCGGAGGTTGAAGTGAGTTGAGATCGCGCCATCGTACTCCAGCCTGGGGCCCAAGAGTGAAACTCTGTCTTTGTTTTGTTTTGTTTTGTTTTGGAGACAAAGTCTCACTCTTGTCCCCCAGGCTGGAGTGCGATGGCTGATCTCTTCTCAGTGCAACCTCTGCCTCCCAGGTTCAAGAGAGTCTCCTGCCTCAGCCTCCCGAGTAGCTGGGATTATAGGCATGCGCCACCGTGCCTGGCTAATTTTTGTATTTTTAGTGGAGACAGGGTTTCAATATGTTGGCTAGGCTGGTCTCGAACTCCCAACCTCAGGTGAACCGCCTGCCTCAGCCTCCCAAAGTCCTGGGATTACAGGAGTGAGCCACCGCGCC